CCCTACTTGTTGTTACTGCGCATGCGCACAATTCAAAACGGCCATGTTTCCGAGTGCTACATAATTGTGACAGAATAGGGTTATGAGAGACACACTGGAATTTGGGAGGAAATCTAGGAATTCGCCATTTACCATATTCAAATCTGCCCTCATAATTACAGAAGCAGTTTGGTAGTAGCCTACGATTATCAATAGCAACAACGATGTCAGAGAAAAACTGTCTATTTTGAGATTGGTTATTAAATTCATATACACTGATTAGGAAGTTATAACAATCTCAACTGTGTGATGTCTCTTTAAGACAACCCAAGTTAATGTTTAGTGATGTCACAAGTATGTGCTACTGCCCTCTGTAGAGTGTGGGAGAAACGTGCTTACACATGGAGACATGGACTGAGATGGACCTCGTATTTTCAGCTCCCAAACTCAAAGTAATGTTACAGGTTATATGAACACTGCTTGCTTCATGTAAGACAGCAGCTGTTCAACCGGCCTTTGTAAGGTTGGTGAAGAGTGTGTTTATTAAAAGACGAACACTGTGGAATTTCCAGTACCAGTGTGGTCATGAGTGTCCTGCTGAGTGTTTCTGCGGCCTCCTCTCAACCACTTACTACAACCCACGTTACAAATTAGTAATGTTTATCCATGTTTATAACACAAATTATCCAGTGGTCACTGTTGTCATGTTTTGCTGTGTGGCAGGCAGGAGAAAGGACCCACATACAGGACTCGAACATGGAAATGTAACTTAAAATGGTAGCTTTATTGCTGGGAAAAACACTCCATTAAATAAACACGTGAAAAGCAAACCAACACCCTGAACATGGAAACTAAGAATTAACACTGGAAAACTAGGAACTTGCTCAGGAAGTTGCTGAAGCAAAAGTAGTTCGGCGAGGCCATGAAACTCAGGTCTGACTCAAAGCGATTCTAGCAAACCATCAGACAATTCAGAAGGGGAATATAGTGCATTATTTACACAGTGGATAGTGGCAGTTGGGGTAATACTGATTATAACTGGGGATATAGACAGGCGGTGGAAGGAATACTTTGAGGACCTCCTTAATACCACTGACAAAGAAGAGTCTGGAGACAGCTCATTTTCTTTTCCTTTCAGGAATCAACTTAGCTGTGTGTAGCTTCTGGCTGAGCTTGCTGCTGTGTCCTGCTGATCTATGACAGGGCAGGACCAGCCCCACACAAGGAATACTTTATTCAAACTTGTCAGCTTCATTTTCTCATGCTGGGGATTTTTTCTCATTTCATCAATACTTGATTGTAATCAAAATCTAAGAAACCCACTGAACTGAAAGAAATCCACTTGTGAATATCTTTACAGTTTAATATTGGAACAAGCTGTCATACAAGAACAGAAACATGCTTCATTAGAATTCTTTGAATCCGAACTGTTTCCAAAAGGGTTTGTATAAAATTACAAAAAGGTCTGAACACCCCCTCAGACCCTCTGCCAGGGTTATACTTATTGCTTTCTAATTAGCATAAGCATTATTTATTTTTAGGTTCAGAATTTCAAACAGTAGTTATTATGGTCCGTGAAAAATATGTCTTATCTTTTTAAACTAAGCCTCCTGATAATGATGCTAATTAAAGTACTAGTGTAGTAGCAGCTGTCTGATTTTACAAAGAAAGATAAACCTATACTATGGGAAAAATATGAAGCGACTAAATGGGTTGCTTGATAGGACCAGATTTACAATCCCTAAAATAATTAGCACAAGTCTTGAATGGGTTGGGGGGGTGGGGG